TTAGATGCCGTTGCCTGAACAAATGATTTTTGCCAGGGAAATTTAGGGCTCTCACTGGTCAGACTAAAGTCATATGTCCTCTCCTTGTAGTTGAGTGTGAACTCAACTCTGTTCAAGCACTTAAGTTGAGATCAAGGGGTACAGTGGTTCCCCTGAGGAAAAGGCAATGGATGTGAGATGGTTAAAAAAAAAAAAAAAGAATTTTTAAGCTGTCAGTCACAGCCTTTATGCTCATGGTGAATATGTGTGATAGAGCTACAAACAAGATCTAGTCTGGCAACAGGAGCCTTTGACTTCGTATATAACAAACAAATGATTTCCAGCTTCCTTGTCCCTCATGCGTCTTTTTCTTCCTTCCTTCAGCAGAATTTAATGAGTGCCTGTTTTGTCACATGTGCATAGCATAGATATACTAGAAGTTGACCGTGCTCATAAGCAGCTTACAAAATAGTGAGGTAGAAATATAGTAATAACACTGCACCCATGTTTACTGAGAATTTGTATTTTAGGAAAGAGAAAAATAAGAAAGAGAATTTCTGTGTTTTTTATAAATTAAAAAGACAATTTCAACCATTATATTGTTTAAAATCTTCTTTCCCCAGGCTGTCTTCAGTGAATCCTGTTTTGTTTAGTGCTTGAAATAAGTCTTTCTGATATGCTTCGTTGAATGACAGAAACTCCATAATCCACAATTTTTCAATATTTACCTAGGCTTCTGTAAGGTCTTCCCTGGTAGCTCAGTGGTGAAGAATCCACCTGCAATGCAGGAGACACAGGTTTGATCCCTGGGTCCAGAAGATGCCCTAGAGAAGAAAATGGCAACCTACTCCCGTATTCTTGCCTAGAAAATCCCATGAACTCCCAGAGGAGCCTGGCAGGCTAAAGTCCATGGGGTCCCAAAAGAGTCAGACACGACTTCACAACTAAACAACAGCAATAATAAGGCTTCTGTAAAACTCAGATTTAAAACCTGTATGTGATTAAAAGCTTTCCTTCACTTAAGTTTTAAGGTTTTGTTGTTGTTTTTTTAGTATTTAGGGTTTTGTGATTTTATTGTTCCTAGGACTTTTGCAGTAAGGTATCTCAAAATAAAGATACAACAAAGGCAAACAAACAAAATACCCTTAATTTCCACTTTTACCGTAACAGTCTCTGCTTATGGTCTATGGCAGGTTAGTAAAGCATCTCCCACCAATGCCCAGTCATTTCCCCTTCTATCTCCAGACATCTCTATCAGTATATTCACGGCTTGTGTATAGTCAGCCAACCAGATACTGAATGGACACGTGTAGATATGTACTTTTTAAAATTATTAATTTTTGGCTGTGCTGGGTCTTTGCTGTGCAGGCTCTTCTCTAGTTGCAGTGAGTGGGGGCTTCTCTCTAGCTGCGGTGCACAGGCTTCACGTTGGGGTGGCTTCTGTTGTTGGGGAGCATGGGCTCTAGGCACGCAGGCTTCAGTATTTACAGCAGGTGGGCTCAATAGTTGCGGCTCTCAGGCTCCAGAGCACAGACTCAATAGTTGTGGCACACAAGCTAAGTTGCTCTGTGGCATGTGGAATCTTCTGAGATCAGGGATCAATTCCATGTCTCCTGCATTGGCAGGCGAATTCTTCACCACTGAGTCAGGGGCCCTGTACTCTTTTTTTTTTTTTCTTTTAAGGCAACAAACATGAAAATACTTTTGTGACATTCAAGATCCAACATGCAACCCTTTTTATTAGTTTTTTTTAGCTGCAGGTTTACTTTGTTCTGTGCTATGGGAGAAAAAAATGAGAAAAAGCAACACAAATAATCCAAGGGTTAGGGAATACATTAACATAGCGGCTCTCAACTGGAGAGTTGGCAGTGCCCAGAGACATTCTTGATCGTCTTGGCTACTGGAATCTTGTGGGTAGAGGCCAGGGATGCTTCTCAACATCCTACAATGCACAGGACTGGCCCCCACAAGCAAAAATAATCCAGTCCAAAATGTCAATAGTGCCGCTATTGAGAAACCTTGCATTAATAGGATTTTTAGAATTCTAAACCCTGAAAGGATTCAGAACAATCTTGTAACGCAGGCTTCAGACAAACCCAGAAACAAATGAGACTCAGAGAATTCTAGAATCCTGGAACTAACGGGAAAGGTCATCTAGTCCAGTCTTTCTATTTCCCACATACAGTTAGGAGTCACATAGAGGAAAGGAGACTGGAAACAGTGGAACTCCACCTCTCCAATGCATGATCAGGCAACTGGTCCAGTCTCTGCATCTCAGTTTTCATATTCTGTGAAAAGGGAACCAAAAATTTGCCTCAAATGATTGCTGTGAGGATTAACTTAAAGAATACAGGATGGAGGGGACATATGCATACTTATGGCTGCTTCACATTGTTGTATGGCAGAGACCAACACAACATTGTCCTCCAGTTAAAAATTTTAAAAAAATACATCTGAGATATAGAGAAAAGAATACATGTGAGATGTTTAGTATAGTACCTGACCACAGTGGGTTGTTAATAAATTGTGGTAGTGAGAGCCAAGGTGGTAATTAAGATTACCATTGTTACCAGAAAAATAAACAACCCAATCAAAAAGTGGGCAGAAGACCTCAACAGACATTTCTCCAAAGAAGACATACAGATGGCTAATCAACACATGAAAAAAATGTTCAACACTGCTCATTATTAGAGAAATGCAAATCAAAACTACAATGAGGTATGACCTCACACTAGTCAGAATGGCCATCATCAAAAAATCTATAAACAATAAATGTGGAGAGGTTGTGGGGAAAACGGAACCCTCTTGCCCTGTTGGTAGGAATGTAAATTGATGCATGGTAGGAATGTAAATTGATGCAACTACTATGATGAACAGTATGGCGACTCCTTAAAAAACTAGGCATAAAAATATTGTATGACCCAACAATCCCACTACTGAGCATATTCCCTGAGAAAACCATAACTGAAAAAGACACATGTACCCCAGTGTTTATTGCAGCACTATTTACAATAGTTAAGAAATGGAACCTACCTAGATGTCCATTGACAGATGAATGGATAAAGCAGTTGTGGGATGTATATACAATGAAATATCACTCAGCCATGAAAAGGAATGAATTTGAGTGAGTTCTAATGATGTGAATGAACCTAGAGCCTATTATACAGAGTGAAGTATGTTAGAGAATAACAAATATAATATATCAATGCATATATATGTAACTCGCTGTCCCATTTTCTTTCATTCATGCTCCCTTGAGAGTCTATGAAGAAAGGTTATGGGGCAACTCATTGAGGATTAAAGAGCACTGGCCTGGAGGGCAGCTTAGTAGCTGGGACTTCAGGAGAAAGTCTGAACAAAACTTCTTCATCGGAGACAGGCAGGGCTTTACTTGTAGGTAAGAGCTAAGGAAGACTAAAAAGGATTGGTTCCCACCTGAAAACAGGTTACTCTGTCTGACCCCAGAGCTCTTGTGAACAGTGCTCTAGGTGGTCCTACCTCGGGGAAATGTGGGGCTTAGGTCACATGCCCTTTACCAAACCCTTACATTCTTTCGTGTGTCACAGCTGTGACACATGTCTGTCGGAGAGGTCCTTGCAATGCTCAGATGGTTATTGCAGCTCTAAAATTCTCTGAGACTTCCCGGTGGCTCAGTGGTAAAGAATCCGCATGCTGATCCCTGGGTCAGGAAGATCCCCTGAAGGAAGAAATGGCAACCCCCTCCAGTATTCTTGCCTGAAAAATCCCAAGAACAGAGGAGGCTAGCAGACTACAGTCCATGGGGTCGCAAATGTCTAATAAGTTTTGTGGACCTTGTGCTGAAGTGATCATGTGACATCGTAGGCTGTGTGTCGACAACCACAGATCTGTTTTATGATTTGGGGAGTAAAAAATGTTTAATTAGGTTTTACTAATTCAGTCAACATGAACATATGATTAAGATGTGCAAAATGTTTTAAAAATAATAATAAATGATCTTGGTGGCTCAGTGGTAAAGAATCTGCCTGCCAATGCAGGAAACACAGAAGGTTTGATCCCCTGGGTTGGGAAGATCACCTGGGGAAGGCAGTGGCAACCCACTGCAGTACTCTTGCCTGGAAAATCCTATGAATAGAGGAGCCTGGTGGGCTACAGTCCATGGAGTCACAAAGAGTTGGACACAACTTAGCATCTAAGCAACAAACAATGATCTTACCAACAGTTCTGTGTAATAGGTTTCCTCTCATTTCCTTAAAAAACTTATAAAAATTCTTTGCAGTTACTCGATGAGTTAAATTTTAATTTCTCTTGTTAAATTCAGCAACTAAATTATTTTTAACCAAAAAAAAAAAATTTGTTTTTAACCAGTGGCTTTCTATAAAAAAAAAAAAAGATTAGCAGAATTCAAAGCATTAAAAGTCTCTGGATTACAAGTGTGGATTAAATTCTCTTGAGGGAAAATCTCATTCATTTGGTAGCCTTCTCTCAAATATCCCCCCCTTTTTTTTTGGATTGAACTTCAGTGTTTCTACCTCCAACAAAAATGTTCTACATAATTTAGTCATTTAAAGACATTTTCTCCTATATCTTTCATGTCAGTCCTCCAACTATTATAAAGATTGCTTTAAAAAAATCAACACAAGTCAGCACATTAGAAAACAGTGAATCGCAGCTGGTTTCCATATATTTAACATTCAAGAGCAGTCAGCAGAGCAACACACACCCATCCCGTGGGTGCTGGCCCAACACTGGGCACTGTGTACACACATCCCTTAGCACAAAGCAGGCCTCCCAGGTGCAGAGAAGTAAAGTAATTTTCCCCACGTCACACAGTTGATAAGCTGGGGAGCCAACAGCACAGCCCTACTTGGGTCCCAAGCACATGAGTTTGCTGCAGACTGAATCTTAACAGGGACTCTCAAGACTTGGAATTTAAAAAAAAAAAAAAAAACTCTTAAGATTAGAATGTTTTTAATTTAAATGCCTCACTTAGAGTAGTATCCTGTGTTGTTATTTGACCTTCAACTTTTTTTTTTCCCAAGGTGTTGTGTAACGGACCAGGAACATGTGTTCCTATCTGTATATCTGCCCTTCTCCTTGGGATACTGGGAATAAAGAAAGTGATCATTGTCTACGTTGAGAGCATCTGCCGAGTGGAACATTTATCCCTGTCCGGAAAGATTCTGTTTCACCTCTCAGATTACTTCATTGTTCAGTGGCCGACTCTTAAGGAGAAGTATCCCAAATCTGTGTACCTCGGGCGAATTGTTTGACCTACAACAACTTACTTCTTTAGAATTTTGCTGGCAACAGTGTTTACTGTAAATGGGAAACAAAAAACTACATGTTTTTAATAAAAAAAGCTTTTGAAAATCCTGAGAATTATTGGTGGTTAAGAGTGAAGAAATGTGTCAGTAACCCAGTGAGGAAACTGAGGTTCCTCTTATAAAACAAACATTAATAAACTATTAAGTATGTATGTCTCTGTGCTCCAGATTTCCTTTCTATGTAAAAGTATTTATCACTGCCTGCAAATTGTCTCCTGACTTGTTTTACTTAATATTTTTTCTAAGGCTAAATATAGAATTTGTATGATTAGCCACATTTCCTGTTCTATAGGTTTTTTGTTTGGTTGGTTTTTTGGTTTTTTTTACAGTATTCTACATTATAGAAAGAAAAATATTTCTTAGTTTTTGTTCAGACACAACAGGCTTTATTTCCTGTATGGAAACAGAGAGGTCCCTGGTGAATCCTTTCGGCATAAAGGAAGCAGTTATATTAAATTGGCTTCATGACAATTTGCACTCCACAGGCTTCCAGAACTAAGCGCATAAACCAGTATCTTTTTTTATTCTTCAGTTTTGCTTTGTGAGTAGTTGGCCTCAATCCAGAATATCTTTTAAAAATCTTTTGTTTGTTAAAATAAATGGAAAGGTACCTACTGTCATAGGAGTAAGAACATGTTTCTGTGTATCAGGGCCAAACTCTCAAAACACTTTCTTTAGCGTTTTAGTAAATTCAGCATTTCGTGGCTATAGTTGTCTCTGGCATTTTAAGATGTGTAAGCTCAGTAAAGTGTGTATTTACTTAACATTTAGGTGAGTGCTTGTTGTATGCCAGGTATTCTTCTAAGCACTTTTCAAATAGTAACTGATTTAACTCTAATAATAACTCAGTGAGGTAGGGCCCGTTTTTATCCCCATTTTACAGATGACTTTCCAAGATTACATGACTGATAAGTGCCAATGTAGGAATTCGAGCTCAAGCTTAATAGCAGAGCCAGTTTAGGGACCCATAGTTAGGAGGGCCCCTCACTCTGCTGTCTCCCTCTTGAATTCTTCACATATTATGAACAAGAGGCTCTAACTGTATTTTGCACTGGACCTCGCAGATTATTTAGCTGGCCCAGCTTGAGAATCTCTTCTTCTAAACAGTCATGTCAACTTTAACAGAAGTATAACACCCAGTGCAGGGCCTGGCCTGGCAGGTCTGCAATAAACAGGAATTCCATTCCCCTCCTTGCTATTTTAACAAGGCAACAGACAATGAGAAGACCTTTTGTGATGTTTGTTAATTTTTTTTCCCTCTTAAATCTTTTTTATAAGTATGATATAAAGCTAATAAAAAAACAGAAATTGAAAAAGAAATTGACTTTTGGAGAAAAGAGTGATCACCCAAGATGACCTACAGTTAAAACCCCGAGGCTACTCCAGCCTTTCTTGTACTTTTAGAAAACCTCCTTCTCTGCAGTCAAGTAGGCTCATCAAAAAGGTCATCAGAACCTTTTCCTGGGTTTTTGCCTGGAGAAGCACATGGCAGAAGACACTCAGAACAGAAAAAGTACTTTGCTGTCTGGATTTCATGGCCATGGGATAGCCAAGCGCTAGTTGATTGCACGTTGACTTTAATTCTCAAACCTCAGGCACTGGCTCCGTGTCACCTGACATAAAGTTCTGAAATATCAGACAACGTATTTGTGTGGTTCAACCAGGAGTGGAAATGAAGTAAGCCTCTACTTTTCTAGGGAGAAAGTGATTTTTTTAGGGACAGTAGCACATACATTTTATGTGTCTTGGAGTTTGTTCGTAAGTGCCACTGGGTGAATAGTTGCTCAGTGAAATTGGACCTGTGTTCTGTGCATTTAATGCCTGTCTGTGCTCCAGGGCAACTGCCCCGGGGGCCCCACAGCTAAGCCTGCTGACTTGGCTCCTGCACTGGCTTAGGCCATGGAGAATTGTAGTAAAGAGACCATGATTTTTTCCAGAAACATATGTCCCAGATGTTTTGCAGAGCCTTAACTTAGACAGTGGTTAGTTTGGAATGTCAGAGAAAGAATCTCATGTATATCACTAAAAGTTTAGAAACATCTGCAGGGGCTGGGGCTGCTGTGCACGCATTCAGAGCCCGGCAGAGCCACACAGTATCACGCCTTCCTGCTCAGTTCCAGGTTATTTGGTAAACAAATTCGTGTTCCCCTGTACCTTCTTGTTATGACTAATTCAAGTCCTCAGGATCACACTTTAGCAAAAGAGGCTGATTTGAGGTTGCAGTAGAGGCCGTTCTCCTGCTGTGCATTTCTGTGGTGTAAAGAAAACTAGTGCTCTACTCTCGATTCAAACTGAAGAAATCAGTAGCTAGCTTGTCTTTTCCAATTTCTCTTGAAACACTTGGGAATGCAGCTCTTACTGGTAGAGACTGCTCATGAGAAATTAGTTGTATCAGTCTTGAAATGAGAGGCAGGCAAACCACACATCCTGCCCACACCTACTTCCCTGGAAGATTTTATCTACAATTCAGCTGTCCTGAAGGGTCTCAGCAGCTTGCCAGGTCAAAACCAAACTGTTTCAGAGAGGGCTTCCAAGAGTCATCACAGGAAGCTTGCGCCTGGAACAAAGAGTGCTATGATACCATGTCAACAAGAGGAATATTGTACAGTTTTAAACTGAATAGCAAGAGTTCCTTGCTAGAATGGAGCTGGCCCAAGCTTTCCCTTACAAAAGCAACTTCAAACACACTTTAATTGCCTTTACCAGGAGAGGTTAACATTGGGAAATGTACCACCCTGTACTGTGCAGCTCCCTGCCTGGAATCATGCTTCATATCTTCTAAAAATCCCCAACTCACCAAAAAGAGTTTGGTAGCAAACTCTTTTACATGAAGCATCTTTTATCCTCAATAATGTCATTTGCGCATGTGTGCCAAGTTGCTTTAGTCATGTCCGACTCTTTTCGACCCTATGGACTGTAGCCCGCCAGCCTCCTCTGTCCAAGGGATTTTCCAGGCAAGAATACTGGAGTGGGTTGTGATGAGCCTGCTTCGGTAAGTCTCAACAGCCCAACACTCTAAAAGCAAGATGGGGAACACACGTAAATCCATAGCTAATTCATATCAATGTATGGCAAAAGCCACTACAGTATTGTAAAGTAATTAGCCTCCAACTAATACAAATAAATGAAAAAAAAGAAAAGCAAATTGTGTTCTTGTTGCCACTCACTTTAAACATGGATTTGACATGTCTCCGCCTTTTCTCTCCAGAGTGATCACCCAATGCCAGGCTCTGCCATCTCACTCAAACAGCAAACTTTGGAGTAATTTTTGTTTTGTTACTCTCTTTAAGCCATGTATAATAGATTGCCTTAAAAAAAAAAAAGAAAATAGCCCCAGAATTTTCTCTTGTCTTTTCATTCTCTTCTGTCCTTGTCATCTGATTTTACCCATCAATTCTGCCTTTGAACTAGTTCGTATCTAACCTTCCTATTTAGTGCCATGGTCACAACTCAGCTAACTCTTTAACATAAATTTCTTGTTATGTTAGCACATTTGCTGAGTAACTGAGGCATAAAGAGATTAAGTAACTTATCTAAGATTCTGTAACTAGGAAGAAGCAGAGCTGGCATTTGAACCAAGGTACACTTGCTCCAGCCAGACATACATGAACAGCTATGTTAGTTTTGAAATATGAAAAGTGCTAAAAAGTAGATCAACAGGATGCTGTGATGGGAATATAGTGCCGGGTGCTATAAAGAGGAATATCAGGAAAGGATTCTCTAAGAAAGGGACACTTTAGATGAGATTTGAGGCCGAGTGCCTGATATATTTGTCCTCTTCCCACTTCTCATAATATCTCCCCTATTACCCTTAGCCTGGTTTCAGCAACTTCTCTACACACTTCTTTTTTATATATACATATTATTTTATTTATTTATTGAGTGCACTGGGTCTTGTTGCTGCTCATGTTTTTCTCTAGTTGAGATACGCAGGCTTCCCATTGCAGTGGCTTCTCTTGTTTTGGAACATGGGCTCTAGGCTTGCGGGCTTCAGTAGTTGCAGCTCCTGGGCTTTAGAGCACAAGCTCGGTAATTGTGGCACGTGAGCTTAGTTGCTCCACAGCATGTGGGATCTTGCCACCTCAGGGATGGGACTCACGTCCCCTGGATTGGCAGGCAGAGTCTCAACCACTGAGCCGCCAGGGAAGCCCCTCTCCACACTCCGTGTCCTGGCAACACACACAAAGTTAAATCTGATTACATACCACCAGATTGCAATACCTTGTGCTTATAAACACCTGTGAAGGGAAGACACCAATGCTTTTGCTGATTATTTATGTTTGTCTTACTTGAGGGACTATACCTCATACTATTGTGTCCTTGCTTCATTCTTGGTCGTACCTACCACAGCTCAGGATAGAATGTAGCCATAAGGTAAGTACATACATTCTTACACCTTTAGACTTTGTCTAGGCCTACTTCTAGGAGAAGGCAATGGCAACCCACTCCAGTACTCTTGCCTGGAAAATCCCATGGATGGAGGAGCCTGGTAGGCTGCAGTCCTTGGGGTTGCAAAGTCGGACATAACTGGGCGACTTCACTTTCCCTTTTCACTTTCATGCATTAGAGAAGGAAATGGCAACCCACTCCAGTGTTCTTGTCTGGAGAATCCCAGGGACGGAGGAGCCTGGCGGGCTGCCGTCTACGGGGTCGCACAGAGTCAGACACGACTGAAGTGACTTAGCAGCAGCAGGCCTACTTCTGCTAGTTCTATTTCATCTGGATCAGTACTTCTCAAGCTTTTTGGTCTCAAGGCCTCATTAAAAATTGCTGAAAGATCCCAATGAACTTCTGTTTATATGGGCTATATTTGTCAATATTTACCACATTAGAAATTAAACCAGAATGTTTTTGAACATGAGAACATACAAGGACACTTTCCATTATCCCACAAAATAATGAAAGAATGTGGAGGGGAAGAGGCAGATAACATTTCAATATGTCTT